TGTATGTATGTATTTCATTTCGTTTCATTTCATTTCATTGACTTTTTTTACCGATCGAAGGTAACACATGACAGTAAGCGTCAGCTACTGATAAATTAGTGGCCCTCATACACTCTATTAAAACTATAAACAAGAATAATTAATGTAACAAAGTACAGTATCATCCTAACGGCATCTATCAATAAGTCATTAATAGTATAGGTAATCACACGGGAAGGAGTGCAATTAATGATTAACACTACGAGTGGGAAGGAGTGCAATTAATGATTAACCCTACGAGTGATATTTGAAAAATGTGCCAAAATTGCACGAGCCGCCGAGGCGAGTGCAATTTGGCACATTTTTCAAATATCACGAGTAGTGTTAATCATTAATTGCACGACTTGCCCGTGTGATTATTTATTTATTATATTAAAATGTATTAAAATGTATATTATATTAATGTATATTATAGTAAAAATATGTCGTAAAATATAAACTTTAAAATGAAATTGACCTGCCTATTTGATAGTGTGTGTTCTCCTTTTATTCCTCCTTTGTTGGACTAATATTTTCCGAGACTTTGTACTCGATGTTACTAGTATACATGAAACATGATAAAGGCTAACTATTCCCGATCGTCGATCCGACGGCACGGCACTTCGAATCGAAAATTTTCACACTCAAATCGCTTTATTCTCCAAAACAAATTCGCCAGCATGTACAACAAATGCCGTTCTTCGAAAATACGGAGGTACTTCGGCGAGATGTACAAGTTTTGGACCATATTTTAACAATGGAAATCAAAACCCATTTTATATTGAACTTACCCGGACCGAAAATTACTACGGCGAACGTCTGCGCAACCAGGCCTCCTTTACCGTTGGATTTACAGGGGGGCTGACTTACTTAGCGACTGTTTACGTTTTTGAAATTTGATATTCAAAATAAAAACTCCTTCGATCGGATACTGTATAAAACTCGAGATGTCGTCGAAGAAAAGAAAACTAAACGACGGAGATTGAACAAATTTAAGGAAGAATTAATCTACAGCGGCTTTTTGTTGGAAAGCGTGGTAGAATATGATACTTTAATTCGAAATATTATCGTGAATATATTAGTGGCATCCTCCCCCTGTAAATCCAACGGTAAAGGAGGCCTGGTTGCGCAGACGTTCGCCGTAGTAATTTTCGGCCTGGGCAAGTTCAATATAAAATGGGTTTTGATTTCCATTGTTAAAATATGGTCCAAAACTTGTACATCTCGCCGAAGTACCTCCGTATTTTCGAAGAACGGCATTTGTTGTACATGCTGGCGAATTTTTTGGGAGAATAAAGAGATTTGAGTGTGAAAATGTTCGATTCGAAGTGCCGTGCCGTCGTATCGACGATCGGGAATAGTTAGCCTTTATCATGTTTCATGTATACTAGTAACATCGAGTACAAAGTCTCGGAAAATATTAGTCCAACAAAGGAGGAATAAAAGGAGAACACACACTATCAAATAGGCAAGTCAATTTCATTTTAAAATTTATATTTTACGACATATTTTTACTATAATATACATTAATATAATATACATTTATACTATATTAAGTCTACTCTTGCGAGATTGGGCCGCTGTGCTCAAACAACATATTTTAGACGAAGAAAATCTTTATAAATTGTATTACAAACTTACATAGTCACGTTTCGCTGCATTCCGCCGAGATTGTTTCTTAAAACTGTTTCGAGGTATTTTCCACAGGTTCTTTTTGCCATACAATGTTTTATATACTCATTCTTGTGCCAAAATTTAGTTAAATTCGTCCACATTTGTTATAAATACTTATTTAAATTTCGCCGCCATATTGGATTTTGTTGTTTTGATTTCCCGCTCCCCCCAGACATCACGAAAATCATTATATTGCACTCCCGGAGAGTGCAATTAGAAATAATTGCACTCCTCTTAACCAATCAGATTGCAGTAATTTTGTCATGTATATAATAAATACAGTTATAATAAAATACTATCCAAGATTATAATTGCATAGTGGTCTTTTGTTCATGCAACAATTGCGCATATAAGACCATATAACTGATTCGTTTAAACTTAGCTACGGACTTTTGGCTGCGCAATGGAATGTCTAAAGCATTCCATTCTTTGGTAGTCCTTACAACAAACCCTATTATGAAGGTCACAATTTCTTACTAACGAAGAGCGTAAATACTCCGGAACGCAATGTTGACCATTTATCCTCTTATAAACTAATGTGTTGCGCTTTACGATACTTTCTTTATAAAGTGGTAACCGATTTAACATATTGAAAAGATTAATTGAGGGCATCTTCTTATCCACCCCAAAGATAAACCTAGCAGCTCTTTTCTGAAGTTTAAGAATTCTCAATATACAATTTCGGCTACTATTATCCCACACCATACTTCCATACATAATGGTGGGTTTAACTACTTAACAATTAGTCGCCGAAGGCGAGGTGATTACAAGCCTATATTCACTGAGCCGAAGGCGAAGTGAATATAGGCTTGTAATCACCGAGCCTGAGGCGACTAATTGTTTTAGTATAAATTTCCAGGTGTTTACAAACAATAATCCACACAACTTTACAAAAATTCACTTCCAATAAATTTATTTTCGCTATAAATAGTTTGTTTACAAAATTTAAATCTCAGACACGGGTCTGTGTCGCGTTGCGACTAAGCCAGTTTTTTTTCCAAATAAAAGCACGTAAAGTTTAATATTTTACCTTGAAATATTTTTAAACCATATTTTGTAGCTTGTTTGGGTTTTTTCGGAATGCTATCTTCTTTAATTTTGGCAATTTCCTCCTCTGTTACTACGGCAAAACGAGCAACCATTTTGAAAAAAAAAGCTATAGTCACTGACCAGTGACTATCACTTCAGAGACAGTGAATCTTGACCAATCAGAATGCAGAATAATCAATAGTCACCTGGAAATTTATACTAAACTGTTATAGTACATCTCTCGTTGACTCTTCTTTAAATATGGACTAATATGCTTCAGCAGTCCTAGGCGCTCGGCAATCTTTTTAGAGAGTTCCTCAACGTAGCCTATGACTCATAGCTTATCTCAGAGTCCAATGTCACGCCTAATAACTTATGAGACGTAACAACGCTAATTGTTGCACTTGGCATCTTGAGGTTCAAACATTTACTTGCATCAGAACCCAATTTAGCCGGTATACGTTTACCCACCACTACCATTGAGTCTTCTTAGTATTTAGGGGCCATGCAAAATTTATTTTATACGGGGCCGGAGCAAAAGAGGATGGGGCACATACTTTTTTTGAGCTGCACAGAAGCGAGGCACACATATTATTTTGCCTTGCAACTGTATAGAAGACATAGAAACGGGGCACAAGGATTTTTTCTGCTTTGCAAGGTGATCAAGAGGAGAGGCGGAGGATGAGAGGCCGGGCGCGGTTTATTCTCTTTAGGAGAAGTTCAGACCCGCAGGGGTCGCAGCTAGTGTCAGGCCTCCCGCACATTTCAGCGATTTCCTCTATCTGTACATGGTAAGCACAGCTGCACAAGCTTTCTTTACTGCAAATGTAACCCGGATAATAATTAGGGCACCCTGTGCCAAATGTGGCCCATAAGGCCATACGAGAGAAAAGTGTTAAGAGAGCATGGTTCTTATATATTTGATGAATAAAAGTGTTTTTGTTTGATAAAATCGTAAATAGAATCGTGTATTTTCATGGAAATAAACCCAGGGTAACATTTGGTGGCAGCGGTGGGATATAATTACAAGTAAATACGCGATTTTTATGGAAAAAATGAAGGAAAAACGATAAGTTTTGTGTATATAAATATTCGTGAAATTGTTCGTACTGTATGAATCTTGGATAATTTTTGTGATTGTGCTAAAGTTTAAATATGGCAATGGGCTTGGAAGAGCTTCAGCTACAATTGGAAAAGGTACTGTGCGAAGTAAGCGAAGATATATTGGTTAAACTAGCAGTGTTTTTCAAATTGGACGAGGTGAAATATCAAGGAAAATCAAAACTTAGTATTACTCGAGTACTTCGAAGAGAAATTGAGGAGCAAGTAGCCCAGATTGAAGATGAGAATCAATGCCGTGTATTTCTCGAGGAAATCCGAGGACAGTTGATTGAGATTACAGATAAAGAAGCCCCTCCAAAGGAGACTGGAAACAAGGAACTTGAAGTTTTAAAACAGCAACTAGACAACTTGGAAAAAGATCATCAAAAACAAGTCGAAGCCCTCCAAAGTAAGATGGAAGAAAGTGAACTGAAGGCGACAGCGACAAGTGTAAGTAAACCAACCACAAATGATCTTAAAAGTGTATTACGTAGGGAATTCAAGATTAATGGTCAAATAGGGGAACCCGGTCAAAAGGATAAACTCACATTTGTAAGCTTGGTCAGACAGATCGAAAGTGCATCGTCTAAGGGTTACTCAAAAACAGAAGTGATTGATGGTGTAATAAGAGCAATTATTCCTAGCATGCAGCTGCGAAGTTATCTCGAGACAGTTAGTGATCTGACATTGCCAAAATTACGTGCTATTTTAAGATCACACTTTCAGGAGAAAAGTGCAACTGAACTTTACCAGCAATTAACAACAATTGTACAATCACCTGAAGAGAGTCCACAGAGTTTCCTGATAAGAACTCTAGACCTATGTCAAAAGGTTTTATTTGCCTCTAAAGAAGCAGGGGTAAAGATCAAATATGATGAAAGTCTTGTTCAAGGACTGTTTTTACACTCGCTCGAGACTGGACTTCATCATGAAGCTGTAAGAACAAAGTTACGACCATTCTTACAACAACCAGATATAACGGATGAATTACTAATTGAACAAATGAACATAATTGTATCAACTGAAACAGAGAGACAAAAGAAATTTGGTAAAGCAAGTCAGGCACGACAACGAAAAATCAACAATGTTCAAGCAGTTAGGTGGCTCCCTACAGTTATAGTCCAGTTTAAAATATTTATATAGCTCAGACGTCATCCTCGCGACTCGCGCGTGGAATCGTCGTGGCCCGGTAAAAATCTTGAAACAAGTAAACAAGCCGCGGGAAGTTGTTTTTGTATTTTTATCTACAAAGAAAACGCCAGTTTTTTATTATAATCCTAAACTTTTCAACATTCGAACAGTACGTATTTTGTTAGCTAGTTTTTACCTACATTCAGTGTGTTTTTTTTATATATTTAATACGTTCAGTACTGTATTTCATAATGCTCACAATGTTCAACAACAGTGTCACGGACTGAAATTATATTTTATACTGTCTTGAAGGCACTCCTGAATTGTCACTGAAACTTACGTAAACCCTGTCATTCAACTCAGTTCACATGTAGTTTTTATCTGCTGAATCCAATAAAATTATAATGCAGACAGTTACGAGTTGTTTTATACGAAAAGTCAAACTCTACTTGAATGTTTTGAAAAGTTTTCACAACGATTTTCACAACAAAACTAAATTTAAGAAACGTTGGATTAAGTCAGTGCGTTATTGTGTTCTCAATGTTTTGTATTTTGAATATATATATCTTTTATTTTCATTTTAAACTAAGTAAAAAATATCTGTGTGATACATATAAGCCAAAAACTCAAAGAGAAAATTGCTAAAAAAGTCAACTATAAACCGTACGCGTTTCGTGTTCCTCACGCAAATAGTGATCATGTCGAATCGATATTTTGTCACGTCAACAGCTTCAACTGGATTTAGGGCTATTTTCCTCGCGTTTCCTTCGGTGAAAACTTTTTAAACTTTGCACGTTTGCTAAGCATGACTATTCGCCAAACATATCAAAATTTCAAGAAATTCTATAAGACAGATTTTTTGTAGTCGTTATTCATGAATAACTCAAAACCTGCCTTATAAACATCCCTTCAAATTTTAATATGTTATTCCCCTTTCAACCATAAATCTTAAAAAAAAAATCAGAAAACTTGACAGAAGGAAAAAAAAATATTGCCGTTTGATTCTAAAATTAGACAATAAAAGTGCAAAAGATGAAACGTCATGGTTGCCATGGCAACACTAACACTGTTCCTATTTGTTCATTTGTCGACAGCAGAAGATATCTGAAATTTCCTGGAAATGATTATATTGCCCTGTCTTAAGTGTGTTCAATATAAATTTGGTTCAAAACGAAGGTTACCTAAAATACTTAAAATTTTAGAAAACTGTAGGGCGCCACCTTAA